GGCCCCGGCGCCGCCTGACGGTTCCGCTCCCCCCCACCCCCAGCGTGGGCGTCTTCAAGAACGGGCGCGTGGAAATCATCGCCAACGACCAGGGGAACCGCATCACGCCGTCCTACGTGGCGTTCACCCCCGAGGGAGAGCGTCTGATCGGCGATGCTGCCAAGAACCAGCTCACGTCTAACCCCGAGAACACCGTGTTTGATGCCAAGCGGCTCATCGGCCGCACCTGGAACGACCCCTCTGTGCAGCAGGACATCAAGTACCTGCCCTTCAAGGTGGGCCCCGAGTGTGAAGGGGGGGATCGGGGAGGACCTACAGTCCCAGTCAGAAGAGGCATCTGACTCACGGTGCCCTTCTGAGCAGCCCTGGGTTTCCCCAGCCTTCCTGGGAGGAACAACAGTTCCTGGTGATAACTGCCCTTAAGTTACATCTGTCACAGAGACTTTGTGTGGTTTTCGGAGAGAAGAAACCACTGGAACGAGTGGGAACAATTGTATAAAGGATTGAATGAGACAGTATCCATTGTTCTCCTCAGGTGGTTGAGAAGAAAGCCAAACCCCACATTCAGGTCGATGTTGGAGGGGGACAGACAAAAACATTTGCTCCTGAAGAAATTTCTGCAATGGTCCTGACAAAGATGAAGGAAACTGCAGAGGCTTACCTGGGGAAGAAAGTGAGTGCATGGAAGCTGCTAGTACCAACTTAGAGCAGCAGCTTTAGGAAAGGGGAGATGGGTGGGCTGAGTCAGGGCTACCCATGACATCCTGAACCCCACTCAGAACTGCAGGCCCCTCAGGCAGCCCTGTTGAATGGGTCTTCACCTCTGTGTAAAGAAAGTGGGACCAGCACTGCTCTGGGCAGCTGGTGCTCTGTACAGACTGTGGTTTTCTGTCCTGTCTCTAACAGAGCTGTGTCTTTCCCTCCCTGCCCAGGTGACCCATGCAGTGGTGACAGTGCCAGCCTACTTCAACGACGCCCAGCGCCAGGCGACCAAGGACGCCGGGACCATCGCGGGGCTCAACGTGATGCGCATCATCAACGAGCCGTGAGTACCCACCCCTGTCCTGCCCCTGGGGAGGGCTGGGCTGGCACCCCCAGCCCTGACAGGCTGCTCCCTGTACAGAACAGCTGCTGCCATTGCCTACGGACTGGACAAGAGGGAGGGAGAGAAGAACATCCTTGTGTTCGACCTGGGTGGCGGCACTTTTGATGTCTCTCTCCTCACAATCGACAATGGAGTCTTTGAAGTTGTGGCTACCAATGGTGACACTCACCTGGGTGGAGAAGACTTTGACCAGCGTGTTATGGAGCATTTCATCAAACTCTACAAGAAGAAAACTGGCAAAGATGTCAGGAAGGACAACAGAGCTGTGCAGAAGCTGAGGAGGGAGGTGGAGAAGGCCAAGCGAGCACTGTCATCTCAGCACCAGGCCAGGATTGAAATAGAGTCCTTCTTTGAGGGAGAGGATTTCTCGGAGACGCTCACCCGAGCCAAGTTCGAGGAGCTGAACATGGTAAGTTTAGAAAGATAAAGTTACATGGCCTCAGTTCTGGGCTGAGGACTTGGGAATGTGCAGTGTCTCATGCTGTGACATTGCACTTTGGGGTATAAATAACTCCTGCTTGCACAGAACAGCAGGCAGCTGCTCCCTGCCACAGAGCTGGGGCCTCACCAAGGCTGCTCATGAGCCAGTGTGTCCCTCCTCTGCAGTGGTTGTCCTTTGTACCCCAGAGCGGCACAATGGGGAAACTGGACATGTTGGCAATCCAGTCTCACAGTTGTGTGGGTTTTGTCTCCACAGGACCTGTTCCGTTCCACAATGAAGCCTGTTCAGAAAGTTCTGGAAGATTCTGACCTGAAGAAGTCTGATATTGACGAGATTGTCCTTGTTGGTGGATCAACTCGCATCCCCAAAATCCAGCAGCTCGTTAAAGAGTTCTTCAATGGGAAGGAACCTTCTCGTGGCATTAACCCAGACGAGGCTGTAGCCTATGGAGCAGCTGTCCAGGCTGGAGTGCTCTCTGGAGACCAGGACACAGGTAATGACACCTTCACTGTCACCTCAGTGTTGACTGAAGAGTGGGTGCTGGGCATTGACAGGCAAATGCAGTAGAACCTAGGTCTCTTCCAGTCCCTGCAGTTCTGTGCCCTTTAGGCTTCAGGATCCTCTCTGGAGTGTTGGGATGTTGTGTTTCCAGTTGAAGTGGTGTCACACTCTTGCCCTTGATCTGTTCCAGGTGACTTGGTGCTGCTCGATGTCTGTCCCCTGACACTTGGCATTGAGACTGTCGGAGGTGTCATGACCAAGCTGATCCCAAGAAACACTGTTGTTCCCACAAAGAAGTCCCAGATCTTCTCCACAGCTTCTGACAACCAGCCAACTGTGACCATCAAGGTGTATGAAGGTGGGTGTCACTTTTGGGGGCCCACAGGAGCACTGGAGTCCATAGGGTTCTTATTCTTGCTGCTGTCTTGTCACAAAGGCTGCAGATATTTTGTAGATGGAAGTTGGCTCCTGGTTTCACAAAGTACAAACTACAGCTAGGGCAGTAACCACCTCCTTGTGTCTTCCAGGTGAGCGTCCCCTCACCAAGGACAACCATCTCCTGGGAACGTTCGATCTCACGGGGATCCCTCCTGCCCCCCGTGGTGTCCCCCAGATCGAGGTCACCTTTGAAATAGATGTGAATGGGATCCTCCGGGTCACGGCCGAGGACAAGGGCACCGGGAACAAGAACAAGATCACCATCACCAACGACCAGAACCGGCTGACGCCCGAGGAGATCGAGAGGATGGTGAACGACGCTGAGAAGTTTGCTGAGGAGGACAAGAAGCTCAAGGAACGCATCGATGCCCGGAATGAGCTGGAAAGCTATGCCTATTCCCTGAAGAACCAGATCGGGGACAAGGAGAAGCTGGGTGGGAAGCTGTCCTCTGAGGACAAGGAAACTATAGAGAAGGCAGTGGAGGAAAAGATCGAGTGGCTGGAGAGCCATCAGGATGGAGACATCGAAGACTTCAAAGCCCAGAAGAAGGAGCTGGAGGAGGTGGTGCAGCCCATCGTCAGCAAGCTGTACGGCAGCGCGGGGCCTCCCCCCGGGGAGGAGGAGGCGGCAGAGAAGGACGAGTTGTAGATACGGCGTCTCCGAATGTGGTGTGTGTATATATTGGACTCAGGAACATTGTTTAAAATATTGAACTCTTAATTTGGAATGTAACTCTGAATCTTCACTCGAGAGTGGAGCTGGAACCGCTAGCCCGACGTGGCTGTATCCTGCTTTTCGTTAGCAGTCGCTCGATGTCCGGGGAGGGAGCAGGGGGGGAGTGTAAATGTGGGTTT